GCAGACCCAAAATAAAGATGCAATCTGAAGAAGCATTGTTAGGTGATATTTTTTTTTTTTTTTAAATGTTATTTTAAGAGTTTTAAGTTTTTTTTTTTTTTTTTTAATAGAGGCATGTTTTATTTATTTATTTATTTGTTTGTTCATTTGTTTTGTTTATACATGCACTGGGTACAGTCAGAAGCGCGGGAGGGTGAGAGAATTCACCAGAGCCAGAGCGGGGAGCAGAACAGGCAGAAGGACCGAAGTACACTGCTGAGGGGAGCAGCGGGTGGCAGGAGAGGTCTGCGCACCATGTGGGACCCTCCTCCGGTGGCCGGGGAGCAGCCGGGAATCGAACCAGCGCCGCAGAGGCTGTGGGCAGCTTCGCAACCCAGCGCTCTACCGCTGTGCCACCGGGGAGGCCCTGTTAGGTGATATTATTGATGGAGGACAAGAGTAAAAAAATACTGGAAAGGAGGTGCCACAAGACCAGAACCTGACTCACACAAGGAGGTGGGGGTAGAGGAGAAATAACCTGGCCATTAACCCAGAACCCTTCGGTACCAGTGTCTTGTCACAAGGCAGGAGACCCAAGCAGGATCAGATGCTCTGGGGAGTGGAGCAGAGGCCTGAGGGAAAGATATGGAGACTGGGCCCACCCAGGAATCTCTGGTCTCTTTCTGGTTTTGCCTGTTACCCAACATCAGCAACAAGCAGGCCACTCCACGGAGGAGTGACCCTCCCAAAGAGAAAAGGACTGTATCAGTGCAGTCTCTGCACAGGCTCGGGGCAGCACTCCCTCTGCCCACCTGTGACTATGCAGGTGCCTCTTTTCACCAACTCTCTCCCTCTGCAGGGCAGCAGCCTCCTGCCTGCCCATGACCTGCACCAGGCTGGGACTTCTCTTCACTGACCTCCCTCAGCCGAGGCCGCTCTCCTCAAGGCCGCCCGCCTGCAACCACGCAGGCCTCTCTCAGCAAACCTGTTCCTTTCGCGGCAGCTCTTCCTGCCCGCTTGTGTCTATCCAAAGGTCCTGTACTCTTCTGTCCTGTCTCTAATAAATCTGCCCTGTAAATATAACTAACGTCTCTGTCTCGTGGAGAAACTCGCCTGGGAAACTCGCTGTGTGCTGTTGAAACAGGAGCTCTGGTGACACCTTTCCCAGAGCCAATCCAAGGACCCCTCACTCCAAACCCACTGACCCCAAAACCCCATCATTACCATCCTGCAAGTGTCTTAGACTGTGAGTGCCCAAACCACACACCTGGGCTGCAGGTAGGGACCTCCTTAGACCAGAACGTCTCTATGCAGCGCTTGACTGTAATTTTCAGTATAGTTGCTGGGAAGGTTGGAGGGTAATGTTCAATGCTGAGGGGGTTTCTGGTTATGGCCTCAGTGTGTAAAGACAGGTGGAGAAGTTCACAGGGTTCCAGTTCCTTCTCCATGGTCTACCTCATTTGCTTTAGAGTTTAGACCCATGTAAACTCACCATACATAGGAATTTGGTTTTTTTCTCCTACTGATCTATCTAATGTTCATTTGTTTGCTGGACCTGCCAGAGAGCCCGGCGGGGTAGCAGGGTGGGGCATTCCCACACCCCAAGGCTCACATCCCCTAAAGAGGCCCTCTGTGCGCTTTCGGGCTCTCTCATCAGGTGGAAACCACCCGAGAGGCGAGATTGCTCCTTCCCCTTGGTGCCAAGAAGTACTTGCAAATGACTGGTTTCTCAGATGGGAATTAACAAGTTGTTGTTCCCCCTTCTCTTGCAACTTCCCCTTTATTTGACAAGCTGCCTTCTTTATGACTGGTCTCCCAGATAAGCATTATCAGGTTTGTCTTTCCCATATTTCCTGCAATTCCCCCTTGTTTGACAGGCTTGATTTCTTGCATTCCAAGGAAAAGGGAGTTAGAAAAAGAAGCTGGCGCCCACCGGTCTCCATGCCAACCCCGCCCCACTCCCCTTTGCAGACCCTCGCCCATCTCCTCCTTTTTTCCCCTTTGCATAAATACCCCTGCACTCTGCCCAAGAGCAGGTCAGTGGTCTTTCAGACACGACTCTTCTGCCCTGCTCATTTGTCGCTTATTAAACCGCTTTCCTTTCCGCAAACTCTGTTTCCTTTTATTGGCTGAAGGAAACCGAGGCCGCCTTCGGTAACACCAGCACCCCGCACAGTGCCAGGCCTGTCCCTGATGTTCACAGCTGTTTTGTAAAATGAGTTCCTGAGTCTTAAAATGCAGCATCACCTCTGCCAGCATTTATGGCAGAATATGTTAAAGTGGAAAAATAGTTTTCAAATAGGGTTGAACTTAGTACTTGTTCTTTTATATATATATAAAATTTTTTGGGCCTCCCTGGTGGCGCAAGGGGTTAATACTGTAGCACCGGTTTGATCCCCAGCCAGGAGAAACCCACATGGAGCAACAGACCTCTCCTGACTCGCCCACTGCTCCCCTCAGCAGTGTATTTCAGTCAGTCTGCCTGTTCTGCTCCCCACTCTGTCTCTGGTGAATTCTCTCATCTCCCCCATGTTTGGCCTGTATCCCAGTTCTTGTATAAATAAATAAATAAATAGTTTAAAAATTGTTTTGCGTAGAAGACTGGGGTGTAGGCCAGAGGGGTGTGTGTGTGTGTGTGTGTGTGTGTGTATGTGGTGAGTTTACATGGTTCTAAACTCTTGTATGCATAAATAAATAAATCTTTAGAAAAAAAGAAACAGTGATAGCACTGAGACCTAACCCCTAGGCCATGAGGGAGGCCCCAGCATTCGGTCTTTGTGGGCTTCTGGAGAATCCTATCAGGGTCCCCTCAGGCAGGGCCAAGGAGCTACTTTTTGCCGACAACCATCCCCACAGGCATCTTTAGAAAGGAAGAGATGAAAACCTGCACGGCCTTCCTTCAGCATCCACATGTCTTTAGGTCCCGACAACTGAGACCTAACAGCCCCTCCGGTCCAGAATAATTATACTTTTTTTTTTTAATTCCACAATTATTTTTTTTTAATTTAAATTTTATTTTTATATTCCCCATACAATTGCAACCCCCTTAGTTTGACCCCAAGCCCTCCTTTCCCCGCCCCCCCACTCCCCATAGAGTATCTCTGGTTCATAGTTGTTTGTTGATTTTGATATTTTCTTTCTTATAGTTATTCATTTTCCTGATCCCTTATTTAAGTTTTCTAGATTCCTGCTATGAGTGAGACCATCCAGTATTTTTCTTTTTCTTTCTGGCTTATTTCGCTGAGCATGATCCCTTCCAGCACCATCCATGTTGCTGCAAATTGCATGTGTTTATCTTTTTTGAATGCTGAGTAATAGAATAATTATACTTTTAATGTAAACAACTCACTGCTCCCACCGGTGTAAACTAAATGCAAATTTGAGATTACTGGAATAGCTCTCACCATAAAATTTGTTGGACGCCTGCCGGGTTCAAATCTTTACTTTGATTATCTGATAAACTCTGTGCGACTCTCATTGGGACTTTATTTTCAGTTAACACTTGTGTCTGGAGGACAGAGAAAACGATCTGGGAGAGTTTGGGAGAATCTTGGTGTGTTTATAAGTGGAAAAAAGTTCTGTTCATTGTCTTGTACCAGAACTCACTTCCTAGTTATGTGAGAACTGGGGTGTGTGTAATCACTGTGTGTACATAATGTGGTCTGGATTTTAAGATTTGACTCTTTTTCCAGGTGGCAAAAGCATGTCTTGTAATGAACATATAAAGCTTACGGGTAAACACATAGACTGAAAGTGAAACTAAAAATATTAAAGTGGGGGCCTTCCTGGTGGTGTAACAGGGTGGTCCCCAGGAAAAGGGGAAGTTCCAGGTTCCCTGCCCCACCCAAGGGAGGGTGGAGCTGAGCAGGGAGAGAAGAGGAAGTTGCAGAAGAGCCTAAGGAAGGAAGCAGGATGGAGCCAGAAGGAGACCTGGAGGAGGCGCATGGAGCCTAGAGACACGTGAAGAAACTGCGTTTGTCTTTTGGTCGTGGACTGGGTGACACAGATGTGGGTGAGACCCGTGGGGAGGTGACCATGGCAGCTTTTGTCTTGGTGTTGATTTTGCTCTTTTCCTTCCGGGCTTGTCTGGTTGTTTCTGACCCTTTTCTGTGGGTCCCCACTGGAAGATGCTTTAGACTTGTGGCAGGCTTTGGGGCCTTGCTCTGGGCCAATCCCATTTGGATGGACTTTTACCCACGAGGGGATGGGTAACTGTGGGTGCTTCACTTAGAAACTAGACTCTTTGCCTTTCCTGTATTGTTTCCTAGTTGTATTAAAGTTCCTTCCCATTAAAGTCTCATATGTTTTGTGTTGATGTGGCGGATGGCAGAACCCATGTAGAATAGGCAGGTTTGCGGGGTTTGGGCTGCCCCTCTCCCTGTCCTATAACAGTGGCACAAGGGATTAAGCAACCTATGATGCTGACCACAGCCACTGCAGCATAAGTTCAATCCCTGGACAGGGAGCTACCCACATGGCGCAGCAGACCTCTCCTGTCTCACCTGCTGCTCCCCTCAGCAGTGTGTTTCAGTCAGTCTGCCTGTTCTGTTCCCCACTCTGTCTCTGGTAAGTCCTCTCACCCCCCACACCTCTAGCCTGTACCCCAGTTCTTGTGTGTATAAATAAATAAATCTTTAAAAAAAAGTTTAAAAAAAAATATTAAGATGCTTGCAAGGCACCATGAACGAAAGTGGCTGCAACCACATCCTGAGTGTTAAAGACTGATAAAAACAGATGGTTCCCAGTCCAAGCCTGATAAGGATGTATTAAAGGATCTGATACCTGAAGCAAACTCAGAGCAGTTCCAAAATGGCTCTGAGTGAGGGACGTGCGGAAGGCTGCTCTTCAGGAATCTAGCTCTTGCCTCTTTAAACTCAGACTGCTCTCCAGCCAGAACCTCCCCTCTCTTCTTGGTTCAGCGCACCGCAAACCGAGCCTCACTCCCTGGTTCCGCCTCTTCCTCTCTCTCCGACAGCGGCACACACTGCCTCTCAGCTCAACACCCTGCGTGACCATCTGGACTGTGGGCCCTCGAGCCTAGAGCCTTCCATGGCCGGAGGACCCCCACCCTGGGGACGGCCCCACCAAGACACATCGTGGCTACTGTCCACAGTCAAAGGTATTTTGGGGGCCTCCCGGTGGCGCAGCGGTTGAGCGCTGGGTTGCGAAGCTGCCCGCGGCCTCTGCGGCGCCGGTTCGATCCCCGGCTGCTCCCCGGCCACCGGAGGAGGGTCCCACATGGCGCGCAGACCTCTCCTGCCGCCCGCTGCTCCCCTCAGCAGTGTACTTCTGCTCCCCGCTCTGGCTCTGGTGAATTCTCTCACCCTCCCGTGCTTCTGACTGTACCCAGTGCATGTATAAACAAACAAACAAACAAACAAATAAATAATACATGCCTCTTAAAAAAACAAAACCAAAACCAAAAACCAAAAACAAAGGTATTTTGGGAACTTGGGGTTGGCCTGCCTGTATGAATGTCAGTGTGTGTGTGACAAATATAGGAATAAAATTTTCTTTGAGACCCAACTTCCCACCAAAGCCCATCAATCACGCTGGCAACACCTCGGGTAAGACTCGTAGTCAGGCCAAAAGCAGAAAAGCAGATTCATTATACTTCAACCTTGTCTTCCTGGAAGAAAAGAAACTTTGGAAGAGAGTTACGATGTAGAGTCTTTTCTCTGAGTTTTAGAAATAACTTGTGTGTTTGAGGAAGCCATGTCTGACTTTTCTGGAATATTGATGAAAAAGTGCCAACATTTTGTTTGGATTAGTTTTAGATGGCATATCTATTTACTTTAAAATATTTAGAGCCGGGCCTCCCCTGGTGGCGCAGCGGTTGAGCGCTGGGCTGTGAAGCTGCCCGCATCCTCTGCAGCGCCGGGTGGCGAGGGTCCCACATGGCGCACAGACCTCATTTGCCGCGCCCGCTGTTCCCCTCAGCAGTGTATTTTATCAGTCTGTCTGTTCTGTTCCCCGCTCTGGCTCTGGTGAATTCTCTCACCCTCCCGAGCTTCTGACTGTACCCAGTGCTTGTATAAATAAATAAATAAATCTTAAAAAAAAAATAATTTAGTCTCCTTGGTGGCACTATGAAGCTATCCACAGCCACTGCAGCACGAGTTCCATCCCCGGCCAGTGAGCTACCCACATGGCACAGCAGACATCTCCTGTCTGCTGCTCCCCTCAGCAGTGTATTTCAGTGATATGCCTGTTCTGCTCCCCACTCTGCCTCTGGTGAATCCTCTCACCTCTGTACCTCTGCACCTCTGGCCTATATGCCAGTTCTTACATGCATAGATAAATAAATCTTTAAAAATAAATAAATAAAGTCTTTAGCTTATATTTATATATACATTTCATTTTTTATTTTATTTTATTTATATAATTTTTACATCATTTTCCCTTTTTGCACAATGCATTCATTTTCATCTTGGTTATATTCCCCATACAATTCCTACCCCCCTTATTTTGACCCTAATTCCTCCTCCACTCCCCACCCCCCCATTGAGTGTCTCTGGTTTATAGTAGCTTGTTGATTTTGATTTTTACTTTATTATAATTAGTCTTTTTCCTGGTCCCTTATTTAGGTTTTCTAGATTCCTGCTATGAGTGAGACCATCCAGTATTTCTTTCTGGCTTATTTTGGTGAGCATGATCGCTTCCAGCTCCATCCATGTTGCTACAAATTGCATGAGTTTATCTTTTTTATTTACTGAGTAATATTCCATTGTGTATATGTACCACATCTTCTTGATCCAGTCATCTATTTTTGGGCATTTGGGTTGTTTCCATAGCTTAGCTATTGTAAACAGTGCTGCTATAAACATAGGGGTGTAGGTGCCCTTTTATTTTATTTATTTATTTATTTTTTTAAAACCTTTTTTTTTAATATACTTTTTTTTTTAAATAGAGGCATGTTTTATTTATTTATTTGTTTGTTTGCTTGTTTTGTTTATACATGCACTGGGTACAGTCAGAAGCGCGGGAGGGTGAGAGAATTCACCAGAGCCAGAGCGGGGAGCAGAGCAGGCCGAAGGACCGAAGTACACTGCTGAGGGGAGCAGCGGTCGGCAGGAGAGGTCTGCGCGCCACGTGGGACCCTCCTCCGGTGGCTGGGGAGCAGCCGGGGATCGAACTGGTGCCGCAGAGGCTGTGGGCAGCTTCGCAACCCAGTGCTCAACCGCTGCGCCACCGGGGAGGCCCTATGTAGGTGCCCTTTTAAATTAATGTTTCTGTGTCTCTTGGGTAAATACCTAGGAGTGGAATTGCTGCATCATAGGGAAGCTCCATCTTTAGCAGGTTGAGGAATCTCCACACAGCTTTCCATACTGGTTGGACCAGTTTGCACTCCCACCAGCAGTGCAGGAGAATTCCTTTTTCTCCACATCCTCGCCATCGTTTGTTGTTGCTAGCTTTTTTAATATGTGCCATTCTCACTGGTGTAAGATGGTATCTCATGGTAGTTTTGATTTGCATTTCCCTGATTACAAGTGATGTTGAACACTTTCATATGCCTGTTGGCCATTAGCATTTCCTCTTTGGAGAAGTTCCTATTTAGCCCTTCTGCCCATTTTTTGATTGGATTATTTACTTTGTTTTTGTTGAGCCTCATCAGCTCTTTGTAGATTTTTGTGATCAGTTCTTTATCATTAATATTGTGTGCAGAAATGTTCTCCCAGTTGGTGGGGTTTCTCTTTGTTTTGGTTATTGTCTCTTTTGCTGTGCAGAAGCTCTTTAATTTGATGTAGTCCCAGCTGTTTATCTTTGCCTTCACTATCACTGCTTTGGGTGATGAGTCTTTAAAGATGTTGCTGAGGTGTATGTCATGTAGTGTTTGGCCTATATTTCCTTCTATGTGCTTTATGGTTTCAGGTCTTATGTCTAGTTCTTTAATCCATTTTCATTTGGTTTTTGTGCATGGTGTGAGGTAGTAGTGAAACTCCATTCTTTCACATGTAGCAACCCAGTTTTCCCAGCACCATTTATTGAACAAACTTTCTTTGCTCCATTGCATAGTCTTTGCTCCTTTGTCAAAGATTAGTTGTCCGTAAATCTGTGGTTTTATTTGTGGATTTTCTATTCATTTGCATTGGTCTGTGTGTCTGTTCTGGTTCCAATACCATGCCATTTGGATTATTATGGCTTTGTAGCATAGTTTGAAATCTGGGTGTGTGATGCCTCCATTCCCTTCTTTTTTTTTTCAGGAGATCTTTGGCTAATTGGGGTTTTTGGTGGCTCCATATGAATTTCATCAATATTTGTTCTATTTCTTTGAATAATGTCATTGAAATTTTTATTGGAATAGCAATGAATCTGTAAATTGCTTTTGCTGTGATGGCCATTTTGATTATGTTGTTTCTTCCAATCCATGAGCAGGGGATGTCTTTCCATTTCTTTGTGTCTTCTTCTATTGCTTTTAACAGTGTTTTATAGTTTTCTTTGTACAGGTCCTTTACCTCTTTCTTTAGGCTTATTCCCAAGTATTGATTTTTTTTCTTTCAATAATAAAAGGGATGGTTTTCTTGATTTCTTCTTCTTCAGATTGATTGTTTATGTATAGGAAGACAACTGATTTTTGTGTGTTGATTTTGTATCCTGCTACTTTACTAAGCTGATTGATTAGTTTGATTAGTTTCTCTGTGGAGTTTTTGGGGTTCTCTGTGTATATTATCATATCATCTGCAAGTAGTGATAGTTTGACTTCTTCCTTGCCTATTTGGATTCCTTGTATGTCTTTCTCTTGTCTTATTTCTCTGGCTAGGACTTCCAGTATTGTATTGAAAAGCACTGGTGAGAGTGGACATCCTTGTCTTGTTCCAGAACTTAATGGAAATGCTTTCAGCTTTTCACCATTGAGAATGATATTGGCTACGGGCTTGTCATACATGGCCTTTATGATTTTGAGGTATGTTCCTTGTATCCTGAGAATTTCAAGGGCCTTTATCATAAATGGGTGTTGTACTTTGTCGAAAGCTTCCTCAGCATCTATTAATATTATCATATGGATTTTATATTTCTTTTTGGTGATGTGTTGGATGACATTGATTGATATTTGGATGTTGAAACATCCTGTGTCCCTGGAATAAAACCTACTTGGTTGTGGTGAATTATATTATGGACTTATGGATACATTGTTGGATTCTGATAGCTAAACTTTTATTGAGGATTTTTGCATCAGTGCTCATTAGAGAGAGAGGCCTGTAGTTTTCTTTTTTTGTGTTGTCTTTGTTCGGTTTTAGTATTAGTGTAATGTTGGCTTCATAGAACGTGTTTGGTATTATCCCTTCCTTCTCAATTTTTTGAAAGAGTTTATGAAGGATAGGCAGTAATTCGTTTCTGAATGTTTGGTAGAATTCATATGTAAATCCTTCTGGTCCTGGGCTTTTGTTTTTGGGGTGTGTTTTGATTACCATTTCAATTTCACTGCTTGTAATTGGTCTGTTTAGGTGTTTTATTTCTTCTTTATCTAGTTGTGGTTGATAGTAGAGTTGTAGGAATTTGTCCATCTCTTCTAGATTGCAGAGCTTGTTTGCATATAACTGTTCATAGTAGTTTCTGATTATTCTTTTGATTTCTGCTGTGTCTGTTGTGATTTCTCCTCTTTCATTTGTGATCCTATTTATTTGTGCTTTCTCCTTGGAGTATCATCCCCTTGATCATAATGTAGTGATTCTCTGGGTCTCCTTTTACCTTTTTGAGTTTGAAATCTGTTTTATCTGATACAAGTATAGCTGTTCCTGCCTTCTTTTTTGGTCCATTTGTTTGTAGGATTGTTTTTACCTTTTACTTTCAGTCTATTTTTATCTTTTGCATTTAAATGTGTTTCCTGGAGACAGCAAAAGGTTGGGTTTTGTTTCTTAATCCAGTCTGTGACTCTGTCTTTTTATTGAAGAGTTTAGTCCATTTACATTTAGTGTTAATATTGATATGTTAGCGTCTGTATTTGCCATTTTGTCTTTCCTCTGATTTTATTTATTTATTCTTTTAAATAACTGTTTTTTCCCCTTGTTTAATTGTTATTCATCCCTCTGTTGGTTCTGGCTTTAGGACTTCTTGTAGTATTTTTTGGAGTGGGGGTTTAGTCGTAATGAAATTCTGGAGTGTCTGTTTGTCTGGGAA